CCCATCCCAATGCACTCACCCCTGCCTCAGAGCCAGGCCCCCCTAGCGCCCCTCCATCCCAATACATTCACCTCTCCCCCTGAGCCAGGCATCCCCAGTGCTGAGAGTGCCCCGACCCAATCAAATCTTCCTCCCTACCCCCCACAGAGCCAGGCACTGGAGGAACGGGACAGCCGGGTAAGTTAATTTTACTTTTAAAGTGGCTGCTCCTGCCACCCAGCCCGGCTACCTCAGCTCGCAGTGTGTAGAGGGAGGCATCACGTGGCCAGCTCCCGGGTCTCTGCTGGTCATGTGGGCCAGAGCAGCATGCACTCTGCTCCCATCCTTCGCAAGCCACACTTTGGGTTGGCCACAGCTGGTGTTGAGGGAGGCATCACGTGGCCAGCTCCCAGGTCTTCCAGCAAGTGCCCCCTCCTGCCCCCCTTCACTACGACTCTGCCACGCTTCTCACTCCCCCGCCCCCACCAAATGTGGCAGGGGAAAATTGTCCCTGATGGGCTTCTGTCCAAGGGAAACAGGAAATACCGGACGGAGCCTGCAAATACCGGACTGTCCAGGTGAATACCGGACACCTGACAACCCTAACTTCATCCTACAAGTCAATAACCATCTCCTCCAAGGCCTCGGTATCCTGAATTCTACACACTCCTCACTCTGAAAGATCAGGTTCAAAATAACCTTCAAAGAGACAAAACCATGGAGCCTCGGTTTAATAAACTCTCAGGGCAGGCCTTAGTGTCATTTACACTAAGGCCAGTGCATTGCTGCCAATTTGAATGCCTCTTACATTGTCACAGGAGGCATTAAGTCCAAAGCAGACTGTGAAGAGTTACAAAGTGATCTCACAAAACTGGGTGACCGAGCAACAAAATGGCCAATGAAATGCACTGTTGATAAATGCAAGGTACTGCCCATTAGAAAACATAATCCCAGCTATACATACCAAACGATGGATGTAAATGACTACTCAAGAAAGAGTTCTTGGAGTTGCTGTGGGTAGTTCTTTGAAAACATCTGTTTAGTGTGCAGTGGCAGCCAAAAAAACTAACAGAATGCTAGGAACCATTAGGACAGTAATAGATGAAAAGACAGAAAATATTATAATGCCTCTATATAAATGCATGAGATGCTTGCATCTTGAATACTGCGTGCAGATTTGGATGTCCCATCTCAGAAAAGATATATTGGAATTCGAAAAGGTAAAGAGAAGGCCAACTAAAATAATTAGGGATATGGAACAGTTTCTGTAGGAGGAGATTAAAAAGACCGGGTCTTTTTATCTTAGAAAAGAGATGGCTACAGGGAGGGATATGAAAAGGTCCTGTCAAAACTTGACTGGATAAGGAAGTGTTATTTACTTCATCACATAACATAAGCAGTAGGGCACAGTATGAAGAAGGCAGGGTATGTCTACACTATCCCGCTAGTTCGAACTAGCGGGGTAATGTAGGCATACCGCACTTGCAAATGAAGCCCGGGATTTGAATTTCCCGGGCTTCATTTGCATAAGCCGGCCGGCGCCATTTTTAAATGCCGGCTTGTTCGAACCCCGTGCCACGCGGCTACACGCGGCACGGGCTAGATAGT